TAATATATTTTGTGAGCTCTGGCATTTACAATGTCAATGCGTTGCTATAAAGCGGCAATGCTCTGACATTAAGTGTAAGTTCCTGAGCTCCAAAGAGGTACCTCTCATCTCGTGGCCTGCCCTTCACCCAGTGGATTGGCAGACCTCTATACCACCAGGGATCTGAATGACCCCCTCCATGTAAGCTAAGAGCAGGGAGGGGAATATATACATTTCTAGTGCACACAGTATACCTCCCATTACACAAACACACACACGTACTCCCACAGTACTCACCTACAGACAGGTAATCCCTCACAGACAACATTCCACCGCACAGTCCACCCACACACAGTCCACTTTCCCCCACACACAGAGGAGGCATCACAATACACAGTAAACCTCCCCACACACATGCAGTACCCCCCCCCACATACACACTACACATCCATACATACTAAACCCACTGTCAGGATCCTATCCTGACAATCAAAAAATTGTTTTATTTTATTGCTGCAATTCCAGTTTCTCGCTTCTAGTGGCCTCCCTAACCACTAGTCAATCCTCAGTTGCTCTCATCTGCCTCATATGATCTTCCAGGTCTGCTATAAAAGGCCACACCCAACTCTTCACATGGCTTTTACATTGAAGTCAGTGTTCTGACATGGAACTTCTGATCCTGACTCCTGAAATCATCCTGTAAAGTCTGTGTTCTGATATCCTGTATCCTGTGAAGTCAGTGTTCTGACATGGAACTGCTGATCCTGGCTCCTGAAAACATCCTGTATCCTGGCTCCTGAAAACATCCTGATCCTCTATGGAGACTCTGTGTGTCCCATCGCCGGAATCCTTCTGAAACTCTTATCTTCAACTACTGCAAATCTGCAAGATCCTGTAAGCAACCTGTACTATATTATACTGGAATCTACTTACCTGTTTCAACTGCTGCAATACTGCAAGATCCTGTAAGCAACCTGTACTATATTATACTGGAATCTATTTACCTGTCTCAACTGCTGCAACTCTGCATAATCCTTTAAGCAACCTGTACTATATTATACTGAATATACTTACCAGCTTTAACAATTGCAAACCCATATCATCCTGAACCTGACTGCAGTGTGACATTCCACAGATTACTAATCTACTTGGAAATAACATCAAACCTACTTGTATATAAAAGACTTTATTCATTTACTTTCAAAGTATCCTGTTTGTGGCAGATTGCCTTAATTCTTTCTTACAAGTAAACTGTTATGTCTAAAAAGACAAATAAAGTTTCAACCAATAACCCTGGCAATCGTCTCCTCTCTGACCAGCTCAGGAACATGACACCAACACACATTCACACTTGATACTTATATATACACTTCCCCCCTATACACAGACACTACAACCCATACATATACATATACATATACATATATATATATATATACACACACACACACACACACACACACATACACACACACACACATACACACACACACACACACTATAGCTCCTTGATATATGCACAATGTAACCCCAAACTCCAAAACACATACACTCAGACATTGTAGCCCCTAGATACACACACACACTATAGCCCCTGTCAAAACACACACACAATCTCTGCAGCCCCTGTACGTGTTTATGCACACATACACTACAGCCCTGTTATGGGCAAATGCAAATATTACAAGTTTTAGAATGAAATGTTGTATTTCTTAAACTGTGTACTTTGTCTTTAAGAGATATTGTAAACTGACAAGGTGTTAGAAATGGAACATATTGCTTTTTATACATGTTTAAGCAATAACCTCTTACCTACTTTCAGTGCATAATATGTTTACGCCAATTTGTCTTAGTTTAATACAAACACAAGTAATGCATAACATCTTCAAGGCTTTGCTACGTCATCAGACATTAAGATGCCATCTTGTCCTAAGTCAGGGAATTTCCCATGACGTGTGCACTTACATTTGAGTTATGGCCTTGTATGTTTGCCAAGTTAAGGGAGGTCTTAAAATGAATAGAAGTAAAAGAAGTTTGATTTGTGATATATGAACTACGGTAACCCTAAAATGAAAAAAGGTATAAATATGTGTACCTTTTAAATGTTAACGGATAGAGGAGAGATTTGGAGACAGAGACACTGTTGCTCCATATTATAATGAATGAGAGATGTTGACATGTTCAAGAGGGTATGTTATTCTACATTAATGATATTGCAAGCATATTGCAAGCATATAAACTCTGCTATAAATTATTGTAATTAATTTTATATGTCTATATTTATATTGTTATATAATAAATATCTAAAAAGACAAAACTTTATTGCTTCCAAGACAATCCTTATTTTATATTGTATTCTCAATTATTTATACATGTTAAATAGAAGATCTCTTACTGACTATATAAAATTATGGCTAAGATATCTGTATGGTTAGCCCTGCTAAGTTCTTTGCTTAAAGACGTTATATTGGTAAATAAGGGAACCAGCTGCGGTTACAGCCCCTAGCTACACACACTTCACCACAAATAGCTCCTTCTACACACATGCCTGCTATGCCCAATTTTTTTCTTTAGTATTTCACTTGTGGGAACAAACGGGACAATAGACCAGCAAATGCAGTGCAAGTGTTTGTTCTGTGCTAAATCAACCCAAAACATTTCACTCATATTGGAGTGGTTGATTATCTTAGATGAGTTTCCTAACTTTTTTTCCCCCAGGACTTGACCCCTGGTAATACAGGTGTGTGAAAGGCTGATAGTGAGTCTGTTTTAGCTTTTATATCTATGTATTCATGCAACCTGTCTGACCAGTAACAGCTAGTATTGTAAGAAATCTCCTTACTAGCTATTTCTGCTTGTAGACGTTAAATACTTCCATGCATATAAAAAATATATATATATTTAAATTTATTGCACTATTGTTTCCAGGGCCACATATCGGTATTCCTGGTGTCAAAAATGTATCATTTTAAAGTATTTTTGAGGTTCTAAGATGCATAACCACTGCAGCACATTGTAGTGGTTATGCTGATAAGATTTTATGGAAACCATCCCCACTGTTTTATTTTGAAACTGTGCTAGATTGGCATCAGACAGAAAGGGTTAAATTCCACAGAATGCTTTAATAAATGTGTACATGCTATATGATTTTTTTAATTATGAAAACTCTGTGAAAGGTTCTGCTGCGTCAGAAACATTAACTTTAATTTAAAATTGTGAACCTCAAACGTAAACCTTTTCACTATGTTTTATTTGTAAAGCCTGACTATGAATAAAGCAGAAAATGGCTCCCTGTGTGTTCATAGAAATGGCTTCTCACACTTTATCAGTAAATAGTGCCCAAGGTATTATATATATGAAAAGGCAAATGTGTAATGCACCCACATTGATACTGTCAGGCGAAGGACATTAATAATGAAGACAAATGTTAGGGGAAACACAGGAACCATAAGCATTTTGTTCTCCAATTAAATATGAGATGTCAGAGAAGAAACGAAGGCCAGCAGAGACAAATAAGGATTCTGGAGTAACTCTAATATGTCCAAAGAACTGTATAGTGAACATGGAAGAGGCAGATTTTATCTGTTATCCTCTCCTACAGTAAAACTATTACTGGATTTATCCATCATCTATCTATCTATCTATCTATCCATGTATCTATCTATCTAGGACTGAATATGCCACTTACAAATGTGTGCGTCTCTTTATCGTCTCATCTTTAATTCCGTCTCTGTTTTTGTTGTGTCAATGTGTCTGTCTTCTTTTATATTTTTTAATTTAATATTTTATCTTGGTCTCTCAGATTTTAACGCCTCTATCTCTCTATCAGAATATTGCTGTTTGAAATCTTTCCTTCTTGGTGTCTTTCTGCATTCTACCCTATTATCCTGAACTCTTTCAGGGTTACTTACTAAAGTGAGGAATTTAGAATTAATTTAAAGTGAATTTCAAATTTAAGGTAAAAATAGCTGGATTGGAAGCATAGCTGACTTAGAGTATTTGTCCTGTTTAGTTATTTTGATGTTAAATTTGAAATTTACTTTGAATTCTCACTATAGTGAATAAACCTGTCTATCTCTTAATTAACTCTTTATCATCTTCATCACCTTCACCCTTTGTATCTCTCTTTGTCTCAGTTTCAGTTTGTTGTCACTTTCACACCTCCATGTTTTCTGTCATTTTCTCTGTCCCACCATTAAATATGTATTCTAGAGTCACTGTGTCCTCCCTTACGTCTCTCATTATGTGTCTTTTTAAGTTCTCCTTTATGCCATACACTTCACTTTTAGCCAACAGCTTCCCCTTTACTATGTAATAGAATAGGACAAGCCATTGAAATATAACCCATAAAAGTGGAAACTGAGAGTTCTGCTATGGCCAACCCACTGGCTGTGGAGGATTCTGAGTGTTGTTAGAAAATAGTGACTTATTGTAATTGCCCTATTGCCACTATTACTACCCACGCATTGTAGTAGTTTGGGATCAGGGTTGATTTCGGTTTTGAATTTTTATGTGTTACTTTTAACAAAAGTAAACCAGCAAATTAATTGTGATCAACTTTTAAATCATTACAATTTTACTTACGCTACAATAGTTATTTCCATTAGACATGTGCAAATCGTTTTGGTCCGAATTAAAATTCGGACGAATTTTGGCAAATCGTACATTCGGATGCTTCCGAATGTCCAATTTGCCGAAGTGCCATATTTCGAAGTGCCGAAGTGCTGAACCGAACCGAATAGCCGAAGTCCTAAATTGCCAAAGTCCCGAATTTCGGAAGTGCCAAACCGTACCTTACCAAATGGTCGAAGTGCTTCAGATTTCTGAAAAGTGGCAAAACAGGAGAGGGAGGGAAAATTAAGGGAATGATGACAGGAATCTAACTCTAACCCTACTCCTATCCCTATCCCTACCCCTAACCTTACCCCTATCCTTACCCCTACTCCTAACCCTACCCCTAATCCTACCCGTGCCAAACCGAAACAAATTTTTTGTCCATGCACAACCCTAGTGAATGGTACCTTTCGTGGCTCCAGTGTGATGCTGGGGTTGTTCCCAGAAACTGCTCCCGCTCGCTGCATTTCGAGTATACAAAACTGATGTTTGCATTTCTCCCAAGCTTTCGAATCCGCATCAGCCAGAACCTTGAGAATGACCTCTTGGGGGGGGCTCGGGCCAAAAAGCGCTACCTGTTCCCGAATCTCCCTCATCTGTTGAGCGTCTTCTGGGGAACTCGAGGGATTCCCTGCAGCCAAATTTTCTCTGTCCAGCTCCATTAGCTCGCTGCTTAAAGTCCTTTTGGCTTTTTTGCTGGAAATACCTCTTCGTGCTTCTAGGAGTTCCTTTAAAGTAGTACCCTTGAGCTGAGCCTAGCTGATCTCCATCTGTTGCTTTTCCAGGATAGTTCCAACTTCAGCTGTGAGCTCCTGGGAAAAGGGACCATCCCACTTCTACCACCAGATGTGGCAGACCACCAGTATATCCCCTCCACAGATTCCCTTACCCAGAGTAAAATAGCTCAAACCAGTTGTGTAAATAATGATAGCCAGTATAGCATTCCCCCCCCCCCACACATCAGCTGAGAATGAATGCTGAATGCCCTGATCTGAGTGACCATCACATCCAGAAATCACTCAGATCAGTTTGGTGGTTCGGGATTGTCATTGAAGTAAACTTTTGACCGGCCGTCCACGAGAGAGAATCCCAAAATAGTTCCAGAAGAATCATGGCAATGGTGGTCTTCTTTCATGGAATTCCATACATAAACCACACACAACAGATGAATGATTTCAAGTGTCGAATGCTACCCCCATTTGGTAGTTTGTATTTTCGTATGGGTGGTCGGAAACTTGAACGGGCAGCAGTTCCATCTTCACCGGTGTTCGCGAGAGTGCCTATCTGAAATCTGTTACAGGCACTCGACGACCAAGTACCGCCGCCTGCGTTTGGGAGACAAGATGGCCGCCATCCATTCTGTCGACCGCATGCGTTCGACTGTACGAAATGGCGGCCAGGCAGGAGAGCATTCATTATTTGTTTCCCTTGTGGTTTCACACTTTATAACGGAGGGTTCTAACTTTCTAATAAGCTGTGGGGGAGGTCCTCGTTTAGCTACCGAAACAGTGAGTATATCAAGGGAAAGATAGCGTTCGAAAAGGGAATAGTATGAGTGATGGGGCATTCCTTCACATATGTATTCCACAGGCAGCTCTGCAATAATCTTGTGACTGAAACATTTGTTTTAGCTAAAACACTTTGCTTCCCTTTCAGCATATACCAATTTGCCTGTGGAGGTAGCAAGCATAGCTAAACCACAACACTTAGCCAGGCAGGGTGAAACTATTACAATGGACATTTCAATTTTACTATTAAACCATAAAATCAAAGCATCTTACTAAGAAAATTTATATTTTGTTGACCACAAACAGAATTAGCAAATAACAATAACACCAGTTAGAGAGGGCCATCCTTCCATAAGATGAGGTGAGCATAGGTTCTCACAGAAGAGGAGAAACTACATGGTAATACAATTCCAGGTTCATTCCTTCATGAATTAATAAGTGACTTAATGTCACATGGTCTTTGAAGATGGAGTACAATTGTTTTAACATCATTTTGCTTTATCGGGTGCATTTGGACTGCCATGAGCTTCTCCAGATCTCTGTGTCTTTCAAGTTGTACTCTACTTGAACTTTCTTTCCCAGATGGTGCCTCATTATAGACAACCCAATCAAAAAAGATTCTGCTTGTCACACCCTCCCTTAAAAAAACCATGGCTAAAGCTCCTAGTCACCCACTCACCCCTTCCACTCTGAGAAGAACAAACCTTTCCCTCATATCTGTAGTGTGAGTGACTGTCCTTGGGTTTGTTTTTATTATTACAATAAATTGTGTAACTCAACACAACTTTATTTAGCAAAAATAGATGTTTGTGTTGAAGAATGGTTTGTTGTTTGGTGGATTTACTACTGTAACATTATTGTGTTTATCATTAAACAGAGCTTACACACTTGTATAACACACTAGACTGAAGACTGTCAGAAAAAAAGGAAACACTAGGAACTGCTGAATAGTCCTTTATTGTATAGTTTGTTCATTGTATTACTGTATACTAAATTAACTTTGTGAAAATACCTATCTATCTATCTATCCATCTATATTAGGCAACTTTGGAAGGGATTTAAAATTATAAATGCCATTATGGCAGATGTTGGCACATGCATGACTACCAAATCATGAGTGGGAATTACACAATATGTAGCATTATGATCCATGCATGGCATTGTGTATTATTGCTACTGTGGTGGCAACCACACAGCAACTGAAGTAATCTACTTTTTCTAACCTATAGTTGTGTAGTTTTATTCTGACTTCCTTCTACCACATTATTAAATGTATATGGGTATCTGATGTAGATCTTTCTCTCAGCATCATTTTTTGGTGAATAGGTCTGCTGTAAATAATGGAAACTCATCAATAGACATAGTTGCTCACTGCTGTAAGGCCAGTTAGCCATGTACTTGGATCACCTGTGTGATGGATCACCTGGCACCCTGACTGAGTACCTCCATTGAAGGATGCACCTAGCGCTTCCTGAGGACTCCAAGCACTGCAGCAGACACCACAACCACTGAACCGGAGAAGCATACGAATGCTCTCAAGCATATGAATGCTGTAAGGAGCTGAACAGGAAAAGCATACAATCAGTTTACACTCCTGGCAATCAGCATACAATCCAATTCCCCCAATAACGAGACAACACTTCGTTTTGAGGTCAAGCAGAACTAACTGTACTGGCACATACAGCCACTTTTATTCACAATCCACAAATATAATACAACCAATCAATCCGTACAATACACAAAGACACTCCCACACAAAATCCTCCCATCTGCCTGTGATATGATTACTGAACACAATGGTTAATATAATTAGCACAGGCAGAGAAATACAGTATTATAAAACATATCACAGGGAGCCCAAAACATGCAATAACCCCATAGTATAACCCCAAAAGTATATCCTGGGAACCGGGGGGTCTGGGTGAACAACATATCCAAAATCCACCCACATCCGTTCAGTAGTTTGGAAGATACAGTTTAATACAGATTCCGCAGAACATATACAGACTATATGAAAAATAATTACTGTATAATGTGTCCCCTGTTGTATAGTTTAAAACTACTGCACGATGTCTTTGTGCACCAAATACCGGCGAGATGGCACCGTGTAGAAAAGTCCAGACAGTGTCTGTGAGTTATAATGGCCACCATCCATTGTTCTCACCATGTGCCTCTGATACATGAAATGGTGGCCACCCAGTAACTCCACAGTATGTCCCCAGATGGTTCTTAAAGGGTCAGCAGCAGCACAACACAAATCCATTCTGCCCAAATCATGTCTTTAAAGGGCAATACATCCCAGGGGCCATAGTCACATGGCAGGAGGCTGGCAATCAGTCTTCTCCAATGCCCAGTGGCGAGGTTGGTTTCACCACATTTCTCCCCTTTCCCAAAAAGACTAACAAGGTATCTGACCTCCTGTCGGTCAGTGCCTTGGTTAGTCCAGCAACCCACCCACAAAACATAATCAACAGAGTGGCCCACCCACAAGAATTGGTTACTGCACCTGGGGTAGTGGGTAGCTTGTCCATGTCCAGGGGCTCCACCACGGCTCTGGGGGGTACTAGCCTCCCGGATCGGTGGGTTGCTGAGTGGGCAGAGACCAGCGGTACTCTGCCCTGGTGCCAGCGCTAACACGGGAGTAGCCTGGTTGCAGCCCAGCTGAGGAGAAGGGTTAGTAGGCTCCTCCCGCTGGACCTGGTGTTGCTACTGGAGGGGAAGACAGGCTGTTTCCCCTTTGGATATACAGCCCTGCTGCTGGGGGACAGGACTGACTGTCCCTACCCCCTGTGGTTTGGGCACAGAGACCACTGTCCCATCTGCACCGGTGTGGGGCTTATCATCTCCCCTTGGTGGGCTAGGCTGCCGCTGGGGAGGGGGAACGAGACTCTCCCCTCCCGGTAGAATTTTCTGCCGCTGGGGAGCAGGACCGACTATCCGTACTCCCTGTAGCTTGGGCGCAGAGACCATGGTCCCATCTGCGCTGGTGGGGGGCGTAGTGTCTCCCCGTGGTGGGCTACGCTGCCACTGGGGAGAGGGGGTAACAACTGCTGCTGGGGAGGAAGGACAGCACCTTCAGCTCCCTGTGATACATACTGCCGCTGGGGATCTGGGCCGACCGCCCAGCATCCCTGTAGGGCCGGTAGAGAGACACCTGCCATCTGTGGGTCTTCCCTTGACCAGTCTGTGAAGTCCCTCAACATTTGCGAGTAAGGACCACCTGCTTCCGCACCTGGCAACTCTGGCTGCTGGTGGGGATCTGGGCCGGCTGCCCAGCATCCCGGTGGGCCCGGTGGAGAAACCTCAGTCCCATCTCCACCTGCCTGTTGTTGTTCCTCACAGGACCAGTCTATGAGGACCCCTACTTCGGGTTCCTCCTACACCTACCCCACCATGGTCACCGCCTCTTCAACGCATGGGTCAGTCACTTAGTATAAACTATGCACACAATAGCAAAGGTTGTGAAGGCCTTTTCTCCATGCATCAGGAGTTAAGCATTTCTCCATGCATCAGGACTGCAAGAAATGCACCGCAGGCCGCAAATGTTTCTTTTTTTGTATGTCCCAATATTTTGGGGGCTACCCCAACTAAAATAAAAAAATATATATAAACAGTGTTGGCTACCTCCTCCTCCTCCACTGCTGCTTCCACCTACACCGCCACGGTCACTGCCTCCTCAACCTTTGGGTCAGTCACTTAGTATAAACTATGTACACAATAACAGAGGCATGTGAAGGCCTTTTCTTCATGCATCAGGAGTTGAGCATTTCTCCATGCATCAGGACTGCAAGAAATGCACCGCAGGCTGCTAATGTTTCTTTTTTTATATGTCCCAATATTTTGGGGGCTACCCCAATTAAAATAAAAAATATATGTATAAACAGTGTTGGCTACCTCCTCCACCGTTGCTTCCACCTACACCGCCATGGTCACCACCTCCTCAACCTATGGGTCAGTCACTTAGTATAAACTATGTACACAATAGCAGAGGCTTGTGAAGGCCTTTTCTCCATGCATCAGGAGTTAAACTCAGTTTGAACAATGAAAGAGAATACCCTGCACTCCAACCCTCTCCCATATTGATAATTCTGGTGATCCTCCTGACAGCCATGTTTTAGATTTTGATTTATGTTCTTCCAAAGCTAAAATCAAAG